AAATAAAATCCTCTAGAACATTCCTCTGCAAGTTGTTGGTAATAATTATGCAGCATTTCACCTGTCTCAAAAAACTATCTACTATATAAAAAGGGTTGGGAATAACTCTAAATCCTGAACTTCTGTTTCTTAAATCATTGGTTTTCTCCAGTAGTGGTGAGAGCAGAGTGCTCTCCAGAGTATTTCATAACAAGAGCCCATAAAGTAATAGGAAGCTAATAGAAAACCTTCAGGAGATTAAACTAGATTCTCAGCAAGTATAAATAGACATTGTGCCATTGCAGCGAGTTGATTCAGTTAATCTCGATGAAGTTTTTAGTAAAATTTTTAGTAAACCAAATTTCCTCTCTGAGACAGTTCTTTGGTCCCTGTTCATATGGCAGGTTTCCAATATTGGCATGTTCCAATGAGGGCAAAATTTGAGGGAATAGCAACAATACCAGGGCTGAAGAGAAAGTAAAATGCGGTTGTATAGAATACTACAAAAGTTGAGCAAAGACTAATATAATATAGCATTATAATATATCACTCAGCCTGGTTGAGGTAGAAAGGGACCTCTGAAGGTCATCTTGTGCAAATACCCCCCGCCCAAGCAGGGCCACCTAGAGCCAGTTGTTTTGGACCGTATCCAGATGGCTTTTCAACCTGTGCCAGTGCTCAGTCAGCTGGGTGACCCCTAGAATGCACTGGTGCATGGGGTGGTTCCTCCCCAGGGGCAGGACTTCTCTTTGTTGAATATGTAACAATAGAGGCCTAGGAAGGAGCCAAGTCAATGGGAAAGAGCAGGAGCAGTACGACCAGTGGGGTCACAGGTGATACCCAAGAAGAAAGCTGCAGCAATGGTGACCACCAGTTGCAGTGTCAGGTAGCCAGAGAGCAAAACCTGTGAGGAGTGGATTGAGAAGCCAAGGGGAAATATGGAGGGAGAGACAGAGGAAAGCTACTGAAAAGGAAACCTTAGCATTTTCTGTCCAACTGACAAAAGTTAATTGTGAAAAGAAGCAAAATACTGAGCTTTTGCCACTTAGTTTTCTAAGATGAGCAAGTGGAAAAGAACAAATTCGGAAGTCATGACACTAAATTTCAACATAACTGAAATCCTCCACAGTCTGAATCTATGAATTTGCTTCCTCTTTAGACATAAATAAACAACTCAGAGATAATAGATGTGTGTTACAGAAACTCATGCCTGGATGAGTAGTTCAGGGTCAGAAGCATTTGTTTTTAATAAAATCCACAGCACTGCACAGCCAAGATCACGAAAATTCTCTGCCACCTTAGTGGTCACAGTATATTGCAGATTCAGTGGGTATATTGGGTAGGAAGACAAATCAAACTTGCAGAGTTTTTCTGCTGAATGAATGCACTGGCCATCATTTTTCATTTAAATGAAGGGCTTGAGTACAGAATAAAAAAAACCCACTTTGCAGTTTATACACTTTTATATTAATTGAGCCTCCCCAGTTACATTGCAGCTCTATCCTCAAAATTGTCTCTTCTAATAAAAAATCACATGTATCTTAAAATTACAAAAATAACATATATAAATACATACACACTGATCTCTGTAATGAATGAACATAAAATTAAAGGGGCAACTGAGAGAAAATATACCTCTATATTAAGAGAGTCTCAAAACGGTACCTAGACTGGTCACTCCAATATGGGGAAAAAAGAAATTGAAAGCCAAGTTCAAGACCTAAGTTTAAATGATATAAGAAGCAGTGACATTAAGTTTCAGTCTACCTTTAAGGAAACAATTAAAAATAGTTAAATTTTGCTACCGAGTATGACAGTAATCACAGACCTTCCTTAAAAACTATTGGACTGGTCTGTGCTGACTCTAGTCCACAGATAATGACACAGCATTTTTCTCTGATGTTTCAAAAATTGCAAAAGGTTAAAACTTTTTAATAGAATTTGATCAGAACATCAGAGTCAAGGCTGAAAGAAAATATGAAGTTACACAGCAGTCTGAAGCTACCTGGTAAATCTGCAGAGTTTTAAACTATTTCAGAAGAAACAAGCAAAAGAAGTCCTTTCTGTTTCAATCAAAATAGGTTATGAGTTTCCCTAAAAAATGACTTGTATTTTTTCTCCAAAGGCCTCTTTGTCTTCAGAGCCATTGGAGGTCTGAAGCCAGCCTGCGTGCTTGCAAATCTTTCCTCTAGCTAGAGGAAAGAAAGAGAAGACGATGCCAGAATGCGCTCACTAGCCCCAAAGAAAGAAGCCACCACTATCAAAGCACTAGCAATCATTGGTTTACGCTCCTTTGTTTCTCTCAGTGGAGGATATAAAAGCATCTTTGGCTGTATGTTTTGATAGAAATGAGTACCTTGTCATGTTTTAAATCAGCAGCTGAATGACTTCTTAAGTGAACGTGACAGTATTTGAAATGTCCCATGCTGCCACACTTAAGATATGCCAATCACAATTAATAGCAACAGATTTGCTACTCCAAAACAAATAAAACCTGCGGAGTTTTTCTGTTGAATGAAGAGCTGATGAGTGAAAACAGAAGCAAAATTACCACAACAGCCAGTTAGCCTGTCAATGGAAATTACTTCCATTTGTCTGTATTTACAAAGGTTAGTAAACAATAGCACTTCAGCTAATACAGTTTTTGTTATATTCAAATTGAATGTGAAACACAGGCTGACATTATAAAGGGATCTTTTACTCTTTTGCACTGGATTTGTGAGGTCTTCTGAGTCTTTATGTTTAAATTGGTCTGTAAGTTTCATATATTTTGTATCAACTCTATTAAATTTGTGTCATTTTTCCTTCTAGCAAATTAAGGACTGTCCTCTTGTTTGAAGGAGAGATATATCTATAGCTTCCCCTCACTCAGTAGGAACCAAGTGAACATTTTATATTATTTTAGTGGATTCTAAAGAGTTGTGCTGAAAATCTACTTGGTAGGGTGATAAGATCTCTCTCTCTGTAAATAAATGCCTCTCACCTTCCAAGTTCTGTGAATTTCTTTTTCTGAAGTCCCAGAACAATTTTGGTGCTCCCAGCTGCCATGTCCCACCAGCAGGTTTTTCTAATACTGAGTTGCACCTCATGACCCTCTTACCATGGGGAGCGGATGCAGATCTTGAGCAAATTCCTTTTCTTTGCTTTTTCCAGTAAATTCTGCTTTTTTGTCATCTGGTCTCATTTCTTTTAATCTAATTTCTTCCTCATCTTCATGCTTAATTCAAGGCTTCCCTCTAAGCCTTCCTCAAGCACTCACTTTTACTGACTGGTCAGAAAAACCTTTTCTTTGTAAGCTAACTGAGCATCTATTGAAGGGCTCCCTTGCAGGCTACTACTCTGGAGCTATGACTTACGAAACTTCGGGACACTGGGCAACACAGGCTTAGATAGACATAAGGCAAACAATTCAGATAATAATTCATGAGATTGAAGTGTGTGATTAAACTAGCTTTGCCTCCTTTAAACCTTTGCTGGGCAGTCTCCTATAAAGCTTTTAGGGACTAATGATGTTGGGAGTACAGCAGGGATGCTAAGGCTAATACCAAGCAATAAACCTATGTAAAATTACTCACATTCATGCAGGAAAGAAACTAATTCACAAGTTTTAACATAACAAGCAGACAGATGTAATGAGTCTAGTTCTGTAACGGACCAGCTGCTCTCTCACAGTTGGATTCCCTAAACAGTTACACTTGGAATATTTTGGATAGAAAACTTTATGAACCCACCCACATACATTCAAAAAACTTTTGCAGCTCTCAGCTGGCTCTGAAGTCTTTGGTTTTCCTTAAAAAAAATCCACAACAAACATGAAACAATCTCTTCAGCTCTCCTCAGCTGGCCATCACTACTCAATGAAAATGATAATTGTAAAAGTAATGTCTCTAAGTCGATGTGTTTAAAATCACACCTCTTGTGGAAATTCTCAACTTCAGCTTTTCATCTTTTTTTGGATGGTGGTGTTAATTCAGCTTTTTTCCCTTCTAGGAGTTTCATACTTGATTTTCATGCATACCTTTAGCTTTTATGGATGTCATCTGATTGTTTCTAATAGGGAATAATGTAATTTCTAAATTACATGTTGCCAGTGTTACATAAATATGATGCTTTTACCTACAGTGTTCCATCCAAATTCATGTTAAAATCTGAAAAAACTATCTGGGAGTTTTAAGGCTGCAGTGGCCATGGCTCTTTGTAGAGCAGATGCTCTGTGCAATTACAAATAGGTGTACCTGCAGTGCCAGAAGTGACTGATGAACGATTACATGGATATGCCAGAAGGTATTAATTCTGTTTTGTTGTCCAGTGTTAGTATCTAAATCTTCTTTGTTCTCATATGAAGCTGTGTTTTCTTATTCCACTTGGCATTACAACCCTAATTTGTAGACCAGAATTTTAAGTAGTATATACCAAGCTAAGATCTGTAGTCCCTGATGTCTTTAGGATGCGTGCTTAAAGCTCTGCCGGAAGAGGTAGATTGTGAAGGACGTGGGAATATAAACAGAATTGGGCTACACCAGATGCTAGAGGGGATTGAGAAAACATCCAGGAAGGCCAGAGAAGGTTGAGTCTAAACATTATATAGGAAACCTAAGATAAATCAGAAGAAGGAGGAAAGAATATCGGATACAATAAGACCATTTAGCACTGGTGACTAGTCTAAACTTAGTTCAAAAGCCAAATCCCAACATTTTCTGTCTGACTGCCTAAGAACATAGCACTCACATTAACTATGAATAATTCTCCAGATGATAAGTACTTTTTTTTTCCAGAGAAAAATAATCTTTCTCTAATTAGACAACTACAAATCAAAACAAGCTAGCATGTGGTGCTCTGAACTTCTCACGGTTCCCACACCGGGAAGCCAAATGTCTTAGAAACCTTACAGCACAAGGCTTTCCAGTGCTCCCAGTCCCTCATGGGCTGTGGGAGGGATGCAGGGAAGAGGAAGGTCTCTATGGCAATGGGGAGGATATATAGGTTTTTTCTCGAAGGCAGAGTCTCCTTCTGTCTCTTACCTTGTTGCACAAAGGATCCATACACAAACCACATGGAGTTGTAGAGGGTTGTGGAGGTCATGGATCCCATCTGAAGGCGTGGGGGGTTGAGCCAGTTCAAGAGGTAGACCAGTAGCCCTACTAACAGTACAGTGCCAGCTATGCATGCCCACAGGGAGAGGTCAAATGGTGCCAAGCAGGCAAACATGTCCACTGTCTTCTCTGCCTTTCGAAGCAGAACACCCACTGAGTAGTCCATGTAACGCGTTGTGAAGTCCACCACATTTTCCCTGTCGGGGGTGATGGTTAGGGCAGAGATCCCTATATCAGCTCTCTGAGGAAAGAGGGAGAGAAAACAACATGCATAAGTAGGCGCTACAGAAAAGATCTTTGTTCCTCTGTGATTTATAGCACCTAAACTTATCAAGAAGCAGATGCCAAGGCCAATGTCTTAAGCATCCTATATGTGAACACAGAAATGTGACTAAGGCTTGAACAGAATAGCTGTACCCACTTGGTGGACTTGGGCACATTAGCTCTCCACATCGTTATTTTCCAAGGAATCAAAATACTTCAAATACATGTAATAGCTGGAGGAAATCTACTTGCGGTCATTTTTCTCAGCCTGGCTTACGAAAGCCATCATTGTCATTGTGGCAAAAGGCAGACCTTGCGTATAGCATTTCCAATCAGAGTAAATTAGTTGCCTCACAGAGCCATGAGATATCCAACATTTTGATGATATGATGATCATGACAAAGGGCCACTGCACGGTAACGGGCATTTCATATATCCTGGGATTTTGGGGGTGCTTGAAATTCCGAAAAACATCAATTTTGGCTGCAGAGTCTGAAGTGCAGAAGAGCAGATATTCCATGCAGTTCCGCAGTTCCTTTACTATTTATTCCTCTATATCCTCCTGCTAAGTATTCCTCTCTATGCCAACCTGTCCTGCAGCTACCTTGGACTTTCTTTGTGCTATTTACATTTTTTTGTAATTTAAAGAACCCATGTCAGATGAGAAAAGGATGAATAACATTCCCTCATCTAACAATTGTATTTCACAGCATGTCTGGGTATTAGGTCTCCAGAGGCATTAGGCACAACTACAGCAGGTCCTATTTTACTTTTCACACGTACAGTTATAACTGCAGTAAAAACAAGAAAGTGTATTTAAAGCAGACACATTAACACCATTTTAAAAAGCCCAAATACTGAACAAAAAGACTATAAATTCTAGATATTTTAATATGAAAAAGAGTACTTAAAATACTTTAAGCTGCTACTAGTTTGATTTAATCCATTTCTGTTCCGCCTAAAGCAGTGTGTGGTCCTTTAGAAGAGGGTGAGGAGAGCACAAAGGCTTGAAAGTCTCAGTACTGTGTCAAATCTTATTAACTCTCTTGAATTTCTTTCTTCTTACCCAAAGAAAGCAGAGATTACTAGCTCCTTAGAAATTTGATGTGAAATATTAAGTGGGAAGGTATGGCAGCTGAAACTGATTAGAATCAAATTTGCATATCATCTGGGCTCTTTTAATACCGTCTGCAAAACACTCTGCAGCCAATGGTACAAACATACTTTTAATCACAATGCACTTAAGACTTTGGTTTAAAATAATTTAAATCATTAAAAAGTTACTTTAACTTTATATTAATTGTTCACTGGCTTGAGAAAGTGGTGATTTGGACAAAAGGGTATTTGAAAATATTGATTTGCTTAAAAGCCTTGAAATAGAGCTTCAGCTTTAATTTGTGGGTTAGATTCTCTAGTGTCTTAAGTGAAGCTGTGTTGATGTGCACAGTTGAAAGCATGGCTTCATGAATTCACTTCATCTCCCTACCTAACAATTTTTGTGAGTGATGATTTAACTGTCCTTTGCCCATGGGAGCAGCAAACTCAGTCACTAATCCAAGTAAAAATTTCATCAGAATTTTCCATGGAAACATTCAGATCATCTGAGTCTCTATCCTCTGATTATAAAACTTCTGGTCAACAAGTGCTTGAGTGATCCACAGTATCTACTAACGGTTAAGTCCTAGCTCCAGTGAGCAAATTGCAAAGCAGTCATTATTTGAACTGTTTTCCACAATTGTGAATATAAACATGTTTTAAAAATAATTTACAAATGTAAAAGTCAAACATAAAAATATGGTTATATTTAATGAATAAGGGTTATTTTGGGTTTTTTTCCTGAATGTATATCAAAAAGTGAAATAGGAATTCAGGGTTAAAAGAGGGCACATGGAAACAAAAAGTCCTAGACTTAGCTCCTGATGTTTAACTTTAGCTGTGTTCTTAATTATCAGCATGTTACTAGAATACTTCCCTACCACACTAGATTATTGTGGGGTGTTAATTCAAGTTGTATTTGTAAGCCGTTTAAAGATTCTCCACTGAAAAGCAATATACATAAGTAAACATACCTTTACCAAATAATAGATTATTGTAGGACTGAATCACTAATAGAATTTTTTTTGCTTTTTCCCCCCTTTTTTAAAGGGAAACATATTTCTCCATGAAATACATTGAAGGGCATTGCACGAAAAAGCGCAGTATGTAGTATCTGTGGAAATACTGCTTCTATTTTACATCTCTGGGGAGCAGTCTCTCTGAATTCCCCAGCATTATGGTTCCACTCTGGTTATCAGCCAGCTATGACAGAGGAACAACGTTGTGTTAGTGGAAATGTTGCATTTCCTTTGTCATACTGCAGCAGCAATTGTGATATAATTATGTCTTGTGATTGGTTAGTGGTAGTAAAGTAAAAAATAGAAAGAAGAGAATTAAGTTCTGATCTCTCAGTACTCCTGTGTTTAGCTGTTTAAAAAAAAAACTTACACTGAAATATGACAACTCATATTCTCAACTTACTAAATTGAATCATAAACACCAATTTACCAGAAAACTATATGTTTAGCACAAAACCAAGCTTAGGCTTAACTTAATAGTTGATCTACTGACGGTGAGCATTCTTAATTACATATAGATTCTGTCAACTTGTATCAAAATTGGAAGATGAAAAAAATCAAATGCTTATCATTAACACATCAAATTGGATCACAGAAGACATCAGTTTGAAGAAATCAAGGTTCACTTAGTGCTTCTGAGATAGAAATGCAAATGCATGCAATTACATCAATATTTAGATGTAAAGCTGCCAATCTGAATTATAAACATGTAAAACTCTCCACTCACTAAGTTTTCACAGTGCCAAAATCAACCAACTATCAGAATCTTAGATGTCTGTTTGACACATTTCTGATGAATGAAACTGACTGACTGAAAAAAACAGCAGAGGGCATTATTTTTCTTTACGTGACCTGCTTAGGAATTTATATCCGTTAACAGCAGTTCTCCTGAGGTCATTGTAGAGCAACATTACCAGAATCAGAAAATAAAAAAAAAAGACCAAATGGGTCTTATAGCTTTGTTACTGGTGTCACAGGACCAGCTTGCTCATCAGCAAAGCCTAGAAATCCCTGAAATGCCCCTATGCTATTGCTTAAGCAAGCACATCTCATACACACAAAAAGCAATCTTATGATGACTCCTGTGGTTCATGACCAAGAACAGGGAAAATAAATGAATCTACTTTAAACTGCTCCCATGAGGCCTTTCATTGTATCCATTTTCAATGTTAAATCAAGTTTCAATGAATGCTGGAAACAATAAACCACAGTCCCACATGTTACGCAGTTATTAATATGGACATGCAAAAACTAATCAGAGACATTTTTGCTCAAGTTAACACGCATACATCCAAATAATTCTCCTTTTACTCAGCTATTATTTTTTCTTCTCAATTTGTCCTCCCTGTATGCTTTCTTCCTTCCTATGCTACTCCCCTTAGGAAGATGCATTAAAAAAAGATACTTATAAGAGGATTCTACTTGGCTTGCAGTTTCTCTTAGAAATGTTTAGGCATGTAATTAGTTTTCCTTTTCTGATGGACCTAAGTGGAATCAGGCAGTTTTCCCTATGCTATTTGCTTCCTGATGACTCCTCATTGGAAAAAACATCCTATCAATCAAGGTAGCAGAGTGAAATGTGGGAAATAATGGTTGATGGATTTGAATACCACTGGGAAGTCCAGAGCCGTGCTGGAAAGCCTACTGTCCTCTCCCAGAAGTGGCATTAGCCTCTTCTCTTGCCTGTCACACAGGCTCATCCCTCTGGTAATGCAGACTTGATGGCAACTAAAGAAAGCGTTGTGAAAAGCCACAGATAACTAACAGCAAGAGGAAGATTTGCGGTAAAGCGCTGCTCCCCTGAGATGATTTTAGCCCCTCCACAGAAAGCTGCTGCTTTCTGAACTAATCATGTTTGTGAGCTGAAGCTCTGTGGGACACGCTAAAAGCCCCGGTCATTTGACAGGAGAGGAGCAAGAGCACCACGTGCCTCTCTCAAAGAGCATTTATCCTCTGTGGACCTTCTGGTTCAGGTGCTCAGCAAATGGAAAGCTTACCATAGCACGGTTACATTCAGTTTATTTTGACAGAAGAAGGTGTATGGAGCAAGTGTACCTAATACAGGTCTTGACGGTCAAAGGAGGGGAGGCTTGAATAAGTTTGCAAATTCAAATTAAAGACCAGTTGCTTTGATCTGCTGATTCCAGCTCCTATTTTAGCAGCCAACAGGAACCTTGTCTTCAAAGCTGGAACAGAGTGAACTTGGCATAATCTCATGTCCGTGAGGTCAGCTGTGGTCCTAGGGCATGTACTTGGCACCGCAGGGCTTCTGCCCTGCACTGCAGCCCAAGCAGAGCTGCTGCAAACAGGAGCAGCCCAGGACTGCCTCACTGATACCTGGACCTGCATCAGAGCCTGTTGCATGCTGAATCATGTTAATGCAAACAGCATATGTTGATCTTGAACACAGAAATTATGTGCTTGCTATAGCAACTGCCATTTCATATGGTACATCTTTCAGTAGTGGCCACAGACATCCTTCTCAATGAGATGCACTCAAAAGGAGAAGACAGCTATTTTCTGTTACCCTTGAGTGGGACTTGTCTTTTGCAGAAATACACTGTTCCCAACTAATTTCTGGCTCATGCACTAACAGACAAAGAGCACTCCCTCTGTTTCTGGATTTCCTCCACATGTTGGCCTTACTATCATGTAAGACTTGGTTGGGAAAACAAGGAAACACTCTGTTTTAAACAGGTTAGACCTTTAATTTAAAACTATTCTCTGCTCCTTTGCTTCCTCTTACAAAGTTGCCAAACAGATAGATATTTGAGTTCTGGGAGCAGAACTCATTTCACCATGAATAAGAAACCAACCTTTCAAGAACAGCTTGAACTTGGTAAGGGGTAGATACACACTGTCTGCTCACCCAGAGGTTCTCTTTTGCCTTAAGAGGGACAGAGAATGGGAGAGGAGGACACAGAGAACCTTTACTGTCAATTATATAAGGGGTAAGGATGATGAAATATTATACATGCCATAGTATTGGGAAAACATGTTTTTTGAATTCCAAATGCAGTTCCATTAACTCTTCATACTTTCTAACTGTACAGAAAGATTTTATATCCATTAAGACTCATTTACAGCAAAATTATAACAGACTGGTAGATCTGTTCCACTCATGACATCTATTTACAGATCTAGGTGGTTACCACCTTATGGGTGTTATTAGAGTTATATGAGTCCTTGCCTACTAAGGGGACAAGAATGCCATACATATTTTTCAGTGAACCATTTGATTTCAGTTGTTATGAGTTCTGCCTTACGAATCATTCATTTCAAATAAATAAAAAATGTTCCAGGCCCATTTCCATCTCCAGAGCCATCTAGGACTAAGACGCTTCCAGCTTGTGTTATGCAGTGGCCTGCTGAGTCCTTTGCCAAGCACTGTAGAGAGTAGGGTATAGTATAACATCAGATTTAAGGAGCAGAAAAAATGATAAAAATAAATCAATAGGCCATTGTGGTGTTACATCTCATAATTAGATGAGGGATTTTTAGAAGATGGCGGAAAATACACTTTTCTAAGTGGCTCATACCTTGTATGATCACAGCATTGCATGTTCCAGCTTTGTAAGGGCATAGGGAAACGGCAAACGAAGTTACCACAGTGTAGATGTATGAACTGTGCCAGCATGTGTGATGGTTTTCCATTCCAACAGGCTTCCTACTGCTCAGGAAGGCAGAATATGTTAAACCTATCACTAGTTTTTTTTCCCATGGGGATCGTTTTTCCATTTTAAAATTTTTTTTCCCTTTTTTTTTTTCTTTCTTGTCCAGCATTTTGTTAACTTTTAGCTGAAGTATTTAATGATTAGGTCCTGTATCTAACAACACTGCTCCTTATTCGTTGCTGTGATTATCAATTAAATTCCACCTGCAGATTTGGAAAAGCACTTCCATAAACAACCAGTAAGTTATTTACATCAATATCTACTGCAGTTATGTCCTGGTTTCGGCTGGGATAGGGTTAAATTTCTTGCTAGTGCTGTGTTTTGGATTTAGTATGAGGAGAATGTTGATAACACACTGATGTTTTCAGTTGTTGCTAAGTACCCTCCTAGTCCAAGGACAGCTCCCATGCCTACTGACTGAGCTAGGTACACAAGATGGGAGGGAACATAATCAGGACAGCCAGCCCAGCTGGCTAATGGGGTATTCCATACCATGTGACATCATGCTCAGTATATGAATGGTAGGCGTGATCCAGGAAGCACCGATCGCTACCTGGTTATCGGTCAGCGCGGGTGGTGAGCAATTGCATTGTGCATCACTTATTTTGTATATTTTATCATTATCATTATTATTCTCCCTTTTCTGTTTTATTAAACTGTCTTTATCTCAACTCAGAGTTTTTCTCACTCTTACCCTCCCGATTCTCTCCCCGTCCCACTGGGGGCGGGGGGTGGGGAGTGAGTGAGTGGCTGCGGGGTATTTGGCTGCCTGCCAGGTTAAACCACGACAAGTTATTTAAGGAAAAACAACAAATGTAGGTCTCTATAGCTGTAAAAGCTGCCTCTACAGGTTAACTAAGAGCAAATAAATTATATATGTTCACGGCACAAATGAGACATCAGCAGAATAGTCTGCACAGCCCTGTCTTTCTCTCTCAATGGGAGAAACTGCAAACAGACAAGATGTGAAGAGTGGGAAAAAAAAAAAGAAAAATATGACACGTTTATTTGGTTGAATTTATTTTTGATACAATATTGAACATTTAATGTAAAATTAAGTAGACTAAATGGTTTATTAATTACAGAATAGAGAACATACTAGTCTTGATTCATACATCTACATAATGTGTTATTATATATCAATAAAACATTTTCTGTTGATTATATACTTCATGTATTCATCACACCAACATTTTTCTAAGTGCTATACATTATTTATGTAATGTATCACTTAATTACCGCAACACCAATTTTTCCTCTTTCGAACAGCCTCTTCAACTCATTTGTGTCAGGTCTTGCCAAATTAATTAGGATGCTGTGCATCCCATTATTTGACTGTATTCAGATTTCATACTGCTGTACTTTGGTTGGGAAAAAGAGATTGCCCTGCTTCTTAGTTACCAGCAAGCACTATTTCTAGCTTTTTCTTTACCGCCCAATGCACCCAGGCATACTATCAAATGCTGGCGACACACGCAATGAAGAAAGTGCTATCACTGACTCATTAAAAAAGTTTACTGGCTGATGCAAACATAATATACCCTGTATTATCTGGCTTTATCACATGACCTCATTTAATAAGTCATTAATAACCTTACCTTAAATACCAGTTCTCCTATCAGTCCGTTCCATGACCCATCATCCTGAGGACTCCCATACTTGTGATCTGGTGCAACATAAATTTCGTATTTAAAGCCGAGGTAAGTGGCCAAGGCTTCCAACACGTCTATTGAGAAGCCCTGATACTTCTTCGGTTTTCCCAGAACATTTTCAGACACCATGACAAAGGGCTCTTCCTAAATAGAAAACAAAGAAGGCAACTGTTAGTAAAGCAATTACATGCCACATTTGGGTGTTGTTTTTTTTAAAAGTAAAGGAGGAACTATTTAAATACTGTTTATACAAAACTTTCCTACAACACATTGTTAGTGGTGCCTCTTGCATTCTGTGAAATGCTATTTTTTTATCTATTTACTTTAACAAACAAATTTTCTTCTCTACTATGTATTTCAGAAGTAAATCTTCTGTTGTAACATTACCACTGAAATGCTTTTCAATAATGCCTTCTGTCCGCACTTACGCTCGGCAAGGCAGATATGCGCTTATATGTCTGTCCATAAATACGGAGGATTCTACAGCGCTACCAGTCTCCACTGGCTGGGCAAACACTGTATCTGACAAACACAACTACTAATTCATGCTGTAAGGAATGAAAAACATGGAAAAATAGGCTGTACTGCAGGAACATGCATTTCTCTTGTCCTTCTACTGTAATGTGAATCTGAATATAAGCTGGTTGACTTTAAATAGTTCTATCCAAAGAGCATCCATTTGATTAGTTTGGGGAGACTCAGTTATGGGACTTAAGTTTGTCTACAAGAACTACTGGTGAATAGTCATCAAAAAGATGACCATAATAAAGGATGCAAATAGGTACTGAAAGTTGGAATTGGTTGGTAAGATTTCCAAACAATATGCTTTTCTTTTCCTTTTCCCCAAGATCTGTAATTGTTTTCTCCATTTTTTTTATTAATATCTCTAATAATCTGCTCAGAAAAGATGAATTTTGGCTAACTTTAATGTCTTTTTTCCCCTCGCTATTATTCTTCCTGTTGAGTATTTAATTTCCAGACATTCTCCCTCACATCTTTTTAAAATGAAACACAAAACGAGATCATATTCCTGAGCACAAAACATACACTTACCATAGATGGATCTCACTTATACTTATTCTTTATTTCATCTGAGAACATCTGTCTGATCTATCCAAGTAGACCAAAGTATCAAATCCCCCCCAAAAGCATGAAGGCACTGTAACACTTAGGTTTTGTTTTGTTTTTTTTTTTTTAAAATATGCTACATTTCTTCTTTTAATTCTTTACATGGTGTTGTAATTTAGTATGAGTTTATCAGAAACATCTATTCTGAGGTGCAAAAAGTTAGTTCTGGCATGCCATGACAAGCACATGAAACCACTTCCTGACCACTTCCTCCTAGTCTGCATAACCCACAAGCATACAGAAGAAAACAGAATTGATTTTCCATAGTATTTGTGGTCCAAACATTAATTGTATCTCCAGAAGCATTTTTGTTGTTGTTTAAATGATTTTTTTTCTTTATTATTCTACTACTCATCTCTGTCAATGACTTTGAAGCCAAGGCACTTTTCACAAATTTTTTACTAATACTTCACTAAATATTTTTAGTTTCTTAGTATGTCACTCTATTTCTTCCAAATTTTCCAAGATCAGCCAAATGGAATAAAAATGGAGGACAGCAAGTGCAAGTGAATTTTTAAAGTAGTTCTTCAGTGCCTGGGTTCCAAGAACATTGAAGGAATTGAGGCTAAGTTGATGAAAGCCTCTCCTAAATGAAATACAAAGTGAATTCAGCTTTGCTGATCACTTGGATGAGAGATTCCCTACATATAGACTCAAAACTGCTGGAAAAAAATGTTGCCACCAAAAAAAAAAAAAAGTAATTTATCAATCTAAGCATATTATGTACAAAATTCTAAAGATTTGTGTGTACAAAGAGTGTTTCAGAAGTTGATAATTTTCATATTAGAAAGGATTTATTCTTATCACTTCTAAGTTATTAGAAAATAGTTGCTCATAAACTGAATTTTTATTCAGTTAGTTAAAAAGCAATTGCTAATTTTACTGATTTAAAACACTGTTTAAAATGCAGTTTGTCATGACTAATTTCAGTCTTTTATTAAGCTATGTAATATTGTTTGCTGTTGAGAGATTTAAAAAACCCTAACAATGTCCAGTGTGCTACACATTTAATGAAACATAAATAATCAAATAGCTTTATGCAAACCAACTAACACTTCTCAATTTCTGTTGAAGTCTGGAGCAGCAAAATATTTAATCATATTCCAAACAAAACAAAACAAATCTATTGCTATGTTTTTTTGTAATCGTTTACATTTCTCAGAAGGCATTGAAAAAGGACAAAAATATTTGTCTTTATTTTTTCCCCCCATAAATGCTGCAAGCTGAAACTATGCCAGTTGCCTTTTTGTACACTGGGAGGGTGTTATATCTCCTATGGAAAGAGATATACATCCCTACAATACTGATGTTAAAAAGATTGTCTCCATCCTTGAGATCTTTTAGAAAGAAAGACGAAACAAAACAAAAACTAAAACAGCCAATACATTTCTCACCTATTGAACAGAAAAACAATGAGAACAAAAAATAAGCTTGCAGAAAGTAGGTGTCAAAAACTCAAAAGTTAACTAATTAATTCGGAGGTGGCAAAATTCACCTGGATGATGAAGCTTCCATTCGATCCCAATAAATTCAGGAAAATCCTGATACACTCTCTCCCCAAAGCAAGTGGTAATTCAGCCTATATAAACAGGTCTTTCTCAGAGAAGTCATACAATCACCATCCTTGGAGATACTCAAAACTCACCTGGACACAGTCCTCAACAACCTGCTCTAACATTAGCCCTGCTTCACACAGATGCCATCCAAGGGTCCTTTCAAACCTAAATTGTTCCAGCATGCAGTGAAGTGATCAAAGGAAGGCCTATAAAGTCAGGGAAGTCTGGAAAAGCAAAGAAGTCACAACGTGCATGACTTCTTTGGAGGAAAAAAAAATGAAATGAATGGATTGCTCCCCCTTAACTTCTTGGTTTTGCAAGATGGATGATCTGCCTCACTGGGCCCCATAGCCATCAGATGTATTTAGGGGATGGCTTTGCATCCAACCTCAGTGGAGATCCTTTAAGAAAGGAGCTACTTGCGTTCTACTTTACCCTCAACTGAATGCAGCACTACTAAGCCCATGATAAGGGCTCCTTCTCAAAACAGCTCCACGGTTATCACTGTCTGGTTTCTTCTTGGGATCTAAGCTGTGCTGCCCCGATACAGAGGAGGATGTGTTTAAGACTCGATGTGGATCAAAGGATTTTACACAGTGTTGTGGGTTAACCCTGGTAGACAGCTAAGCACTACACGGCCAATACTACCTGCCGCAAAATGAAAGTCAGCAGCAAACAGGTAAAGTTTATATTGGGTGAAGCTGTGCATACTGCTTTTTACAGCTGTAAGAAGGCGAAGTCTGGTTCCAGAGGTGATTACCCCCGAGCAAGAGAAGCTGCAAAATGCTAGCAGACAAGCACATCTTAGGAAGGCTAAAGGCAGACCCAAGATTAAGGCAACATGGCATAAAAAAAGGAAAATGTTGGGAAAGATGACATGATACTGTAAGTACATGGGAGAAGCAGCTCACAAAAACACTTGTCTCCATTCATTTATCTATTATCACTAGGTTCATAAAACTTTTTAAGTAAGAAGCTACACATTAAGACTAACATAGGTTAACAACATGCTACATATTAAGCCTGATAGAATTTAACATCCTCCTCCCACCAGAGCAACTAGCTACCTTCTCAGGCAATAGCTCTGGTGATGCTTGGTTCCTTTATTAAAGTAATTCTACTCAATTTTTGTCAGGTGAGTTGATCTGATTGCCAGGGGTCCAGACAAATGCCAGAGCCAGGACAAGCGATGCAGAAAGACTGTACAAGCAGAAGTGAGAATGTACCAAGAATGTGCCCTTTTTCGTATCAGGGGATGGTTAAGCAGCTCAGACATCTTACCCGAACCTATCTTCAGATGCGCAACACAATATTATTTGAGCACATTTCACAAATTAGGGTTTATCACTGAAATAGTTGGTTGAGTAAGAAGAGTTATCACCACCATTTTCCACATGAAGAACTGAAATGCACAGATTTCATGACCTGTACAGCTGAGAAGTGAATCCAAGTGTGCTGGGTCAGGAACAAATGCCTTAACCATAGACTGTTTTCCCTCTATCTTATTTTAATGTTTTAAAACATTTGTACTTACATATGTATCTGTGTTCTGGCAAACCATGAGTGTAAATGCAGGAAAACCAATAGAGGAAAGCAAGCATTAGATGAGAACAAAGGAAGGTGGGATCCAAAAATGAGATGTCTAGACTCAGGGAGAGAAAAGTCTTACTCTTGAAAGGACTGCTTACCAGGGTAAAACTGCAAGGGGACAACACAGATTGTAACGTGCCCTACACCAGGGAGAACTGATAGCAGGGCAATATAGGCACAAAACCCTTGCCCCAAATTTTACACAGTGGGAAGTAGGGGATAGAGAATTTATTTTATTTTACACATATCAGTGGAAATCAGAGGTTGATAGTATAGAGCTTGGAGCAGTCTAGATTCAAGATTAATAGAAAAAAATGCTCCACTTTATTGCTTTTTCCAACAAGATAAAGGGCTAACAGTTTTGCCTATTCAGGACTTAGGTTCTGGTGCACATAAAAATGAAGTAACACAAGGTTTTATAAGTGCTTCAAGAGTCTAAGATTAAAAGTACAAAATATAGTTTTTATTTACTCTTACGAAATTCTCAGACATATGCCAATAATTTGGATGTAATAGTTGGTCTGAAGTAATCATTTCATATCCTATACTAGACTACCTAATAATACCTAATATCCTATACTAGACTACCTAATAAACTACCTTGTTCTTAAAAATAAGAAAGAAGAGACAAGCTTTTGGGAACAGAAGACCTTCACGTTTGAAAACAAAAGGAGCAATACTTAAGCTAAATAGCAGAAAAGAACAATTACTCTGAGTTTAACTTGGTTATATTAATTAGACAGTCAAAGAGAAACATTGGTTTGTAACTGTGCTACAGAGGTGGATGATAAAGTCAAGCTATAAATTCAGGTCTTAGAGGAGGCAGGGAGGGAGAGCAAGAGAACGATTGCTCGTGAAGCGTTCAGGGAC